TCAAACTCATAAAAATGTTCTATAGGTTTGGATATTTCTTATGTCGACCAAATCAATATACTAAAAAGCACAATTTGTGTGGCAAACCTTTAGTCCTCTCAATATCCACTGGTCTCCAAGTTTACCTAATATGATTCAGCCCCAAGAGCTGCATTCACCCTGGGTAAACTGATAACATCACATCTGGGGGCTCCAAAGCTGAGGCCTGACCCACTCCAGACACTCTACCCAACTCCACCTGGGGTGGGTGGCCTCCCTGTAAAACTGTGCATTTCTTCAGCTGCAACATTTTGGCCAAGTCTAAGAAAGCTTATGTTTGTAAAAATTATTTCATTAGCTCAAGACTTTTTTAGTGTTTACTGCTTATTGCAAAACTTAAGAATGAACAGGCTTCTGCCTAGAAGCTTTAAAGTTGAGTCTTTTTTGAAAACAATTGTGGTAAGGACACTTAACATGAGATGTACACTCTCAACAAAATTTTAAGTGCACAACACAGTATTGTTATTTATGGGTACAATGTTGTACAGCAGAACTCTAGAATTTCTTTATCTTATATAACTAAAACTTAATACCCATTGATGAGCATCCTCCATTTCCCCCTTGCCCCCAGGTTGAGTCTTAATCGAATTAATTTTTTTACTTAACAAAGCACAGGAGAAAAGTATATCCCCATTTTTATGCTTAACAAGTATCTCATCTTCTCAAAAATAATTAGTCAAAAGTATAAACTTCACATTTCTCATTAAGAAATCCTTGAAGTTTGAGATATAGAATACCAAAAAGTATACACTAAATAATAAAATTTCAGAATGAATTCTTCTGGATGACAATTATTATTGCAAATGAGCCCCCAAATTAAATATGTTAAATTCCAAAAAAGATGGCAAATTTTAACTAATTTCAAAGTTTTCTTAGAAAACTAAGGACCTTAGAAGACATTGAATACGTTTTAAAAATAAGACAAATTACAAAAGTATAGATTTTGTAATAATACTGTCTCACATACCTTTATTCATCCAGGCATTCATATTCAATAAATACTCTCTGAGTGCCTAATATTAATAATGATAATAATAAGCATTTTTGAGCCTTTTTATATATCAGGTACTATACTATTCTATATCATCTTGTTTAATCCTTTTAACAGCCTTTAAAGTATAGTATTTTCTTTATTCCTGTTGCACAGATGAGGAAACTGAGGCAGAGAGAAACTGAGTAACTTGCCCAGTTACTAAGGGGCCACGCCCAAATGTGAGCTCCAGGCATTGTGTCCAGTACCCTTCCTTTTAACCACTGTCCTCTGCTGCCTCCATGTGCCCAGCAAGAAACTCAAGCGCTGAAATGGAGAGTTGTTTAAGATAAGCTCTTCACTTTAGGGAGTTGACATTAGAATTGAAGAGATCAGTGGAACCCAGGAACAAATAGTACATACATACTTGGTAGACAGATTTTATCAGTTTGGAATTAAATAAGTTCACGTGGCCTTTTTAAAAAACACTGTTTTAAACATTTAACATTTTCAAACTTACACAAAAAGAGAGAGAGGAGTATAATGAACCCCCAGGTACCCAACACCCAATGTAGCTAGTATCAATTTATGGCCAATCTCAGTTCATCTATACCCCACACACTTTTTCCTTCCCCTACCTCCTCCCTACTGATTTTTTAAAATCTACTTTTTAGGTTAGTTTCAGGTATACAGAACAACATAGTGATCAGGTATTTACATAACTCAAGTGATAACCCCAACAAATCTACTACCCATCTGACACTGTGCATAGTTATTAGAACATTACTGACTATATCCTCTATGCTGCACTACATATCCCCATGACTATTTTTTTAAATTACAATTGACATTGCATTATTATATTATATTATTATAATTATTTTATATTAGTTTTAGGTGTACAGCGTAGTGGCTAGACATTCATATAATTTATGAAATGATCACCCAAATAAGTCTACCACCCTACCCATCTGACACTATATGTAGTTTTTACATTATTGACTATATAAGCTGTACTTTACATCCCCGTGATTCTCCTGTAACTACCGATTTGTAATTCTTAATCCCTTCACCTTTCTCACCCAGCCCCTCAACCCTACTCCCACCTAGTAACCATCAGTGTGTTTTCTGTATCTAAGGGTCTGTTTCTGTTTTATTAGTTTGTTTATTTTGTTCTTTAGATTCCACATATAAGTGGGGTCATATGGTATTTGTCTTTTTCAGTCTGATTTATTTCACTTAGCATAATACCCTCTAGGTCCATCCATGTTGGCGCAAATGGTAAGATTTCATTCTTTTTACGGCAGAGTAATATTCCATTGTATATATGTACCACAATTTCTTTATCTAACCATCTATTGATGGGCATTTCGGTTGTTTCCACATCTTGGCTACTGTAAACCGTGCTCCTACTGATTTTTTGAAACAAATACCAGCCCTCATGTTCTTTTATCCACAAATACTTCAGTACGTATCTTTTAAAGAAAAGGAATCCTTGTAGACATAATCGCAATACCAATATCACCCCCAAAATAATTAACAGTGATATCTTAATATAATCTAGTCTGTAAGAAAGGAAAAATAACTTCCCCTCTATTCTTCTAGGTTCTTGGCTAAGACCACTCCCTCCCTGTTAATAAAAGACAGATTAACAGGAGAAAAACAAATAGAAGTTTAATAACATACAAGGGAGACTTCCTGAAATGACTGAAGCCACCACCTTAAATACCATCTTCAGCTGAAGACAAAAGGTGTTGGGGGTGGGGAGCCATTTACTGGGAAGTTATCAGGCAAAGCACAATAAGCAAGGGTAAGGTTGGTAAGCAGATTTACGCCGAATGTGAGAATTTCTACAAATTGAGTCATCCTCCTCTTCCTGCCCTGGTCCAGAGAGGGAGACACCCTTCCAAATGCTTCCCTTATACATGTAAATGTCCCTTACAGAAGAATAACTTCTACTCAGTTGTCAGAGCTTTTCCTATACCTGCTGTTTCTGAAAAATAATCAGCCTAAAATATCCTGTGCCGAAGAGGCATATTTTGGGGTGACAAATTCTGCTCCCCTGCAAATTAACTGCTTGAGGGTCCACACACCCAGATTAATAAAAGCCCAGTTTCTCTCGCGGGGCCCCTCGCCAGGTAAATTATCCAAGATGCTGGTCCAATTCCACCCCAGTCCTGCTTCCAAACACCTGGAGGAGAAAGAACTAGAGAATCTGAGCGGTCTCCCAACAGGCACCCTCTTTTTTGGCTGCCATGGCTGCCCCCGAGTTTTGCTGATGAAAACCAGTGGTCTTGTTTGGTCCAACCTAATTCACTGCTAGTCCAGCTTCTGTCTAGGCCCCAGTGGCTCTCCAAGGAAGGCCGACCCCCTTTGTCTGGGGAACCCTGGGACGAGGTGCCAAGAGCTGGGATCCCAAGTGTATGGCTCTTGACTTTGCCCTGAAACAGCCTTTGTTTCCACAGCACGCCTGGGGGTGGGGCTTGCAGGCCCAGCCCCACCCCTGGCCAGAATCCACCTTCATGAACAGTCAACACCAAGGTGTTGAGCCAAGCTTCTTCCTTTTTTGGTGCATTTACCTCAAGGGTTCCCATGTCCCCTCTCTGGCCAGCAGACCCCCACCAGGACTCTCTCAACTCATCAGAGAAGGGAGATTCCTCAAAAGTGAAGACTCGGTGCCAGTTCCCTGTAATCTCAGAAATCTCTTTGGCCCCACACAAATTTACCTTGAGACGGTCACTACATACCAAGGCCTACTGGGAGAGGCAGGCCACATCCAGCCACAAAGAAGGTCTTATTATACCCCTCCCCTGGGCTGTCTGTCACTGTGCATTTTCATAGCTAAGAGAGGTGGCCCAAGGACCTCTTAGAACCAAGGTCAACTCCTAGGTAACCTGCTGCCTCCTCCTAGACAGGCTGTGTCATTGTTTTGCCTTCTTTTTGTTTGTTTAATTTTCATTTTGTTCAGTCATTTTTTTAAACAGGTAATACATTTCCATAGTTCAAAACTCAAAAGATATCAAAGGATATAGAAAGTCTCCCTTCCACCCAGATCCTCTCCCCAAAAGCAACCAATTTTATCAGTTTCTTGTGTTTCCCTCAGAAATATTTTATGTTTACACAATACAGAGGGTGCCAAAAAAATGTATACCCATTTTAAGGAAAACGGTATTAAAATTGTAATACTCAGTATACGACTTGTATAGTGATAACAAAAGATGAATATAAGTCACGTTTGACTTCTGCAATTACAAGAGGTGCTCAAAGTGGTTTCCATCGGCGTCCAGACACTTCTGATGACGGCGAACTACTGCTTGAGCAACGGTGACCAAAGTGTCCACTTGTATACACTTTTTGGGCACCCTGGTATAGCTTTCTACATATATTCTCCTCCTTTTTACCTATAAATGGTAGCATATACCGTGTTTCCCCCAAAATAAGACCTAGCTGGAAAATAAGCCCTAGCATGATTTTTCAGGATGCTTGTAATATAAGCCCTACCCCAAACATGAGCCCCAGTTAAGATTGTTAGCCAGGCATGACTGTTTGAATACATGTAGATTTTTGTACATGAATAAATGAATAAATGTAGATTGTTGGAGCAAAAATTAATATAAGACCTGGTCTTAGTTTTGGGAAAACATGGTAGTACCCAATGTTCTGCTCCTTGATTTTTTTTTAACTTAATAGTATATCTTAACAAACATAGGACTTTCTGTTCTAATTACAGCTGTAGAATACTCCAAAGTGTGAATGGACTGTGAGTTATTTAACCGAAATTCTTCTGTTGGTGGACTTTCCGGTTGTTTGCAATCTTTTCCAATTACAAATAACAGTGCACTGGATAAACTTATAAACAGGATCCAGACAGCTTTTAACAAGCAACTTCTCTTGCCTAGAAACAAATTAAAATTCCAACTAAGGAGGCACCCTGCTGTATAAGATAAAGAATTATAAAGTACTCTGGAGGATCAGAAAAAATAGAACTTACTTTTGGCTGGCTGGGAGCAGGGGAGAAGAGATGTGTGCAGTGGAAAAGACTGAATCTTTGAATCTGCAGGAGGGGAATCACAGATGAATTCATCTAGAAAAAATTGTTACACAGAACTATGTATAGAATGTTCAGTTAAGGAGGGGGTGAGTTGTTATTTCAATTAAAAAAAACTCCTCTAACTTAAAACTCTGGTATTAAAACATTTTTTATATATACTGCTTGCCTAGGAATGTAAATATCAGGCACTTGAAAATAAATTACAGACATAATGCAAAATCTGACCCAGTTCTTAGGAACACAGGCTATAAAACACTATAATGAAGGCAAAAATCCACATCAAAATCTCCATTGTCTTGGAAGATGGGATTTGAAAACGTTTTTCCCTATTCAGTGGCATTATCACTGGTAAAGTAGAGGGCTGGCCGAGTGGCTCAGTTGGTTAAGAGCTTGCTCAAGAGTTTGAGCTCTGAGCAACAGGGTCGCTGGTTTGATTCCCGTTCCAAGCTGAGCAGCCTCTGAGCTGCCAATGGGTGGCAGGATGGCTCAGCTGAAAAAAAAAAAGTAATCACTGGTAAATTAGAATAATACTCTTCTTGCCCTTTGTTATTAGTATGTGCTTGCCACTTCTTGGCAAATGTCTCTGGTTTGCTTTTTGGTTGGTGGGCGAAAAGTGAGTGTTATGCAGTTAAGGTAGCAAACTTCCCCACAAACAAGCAGTGTACACATAATATCTTTCCACACTTCACTTGATGCTCTGAATTATTAATTAGGATGTTAAATATATTTCTCAGTGCATGAGGTTATATTTAACTTCATATACTGACAATCTGAGCTTGGCACCTTCCTGGGTTTGAAAATTAGATTTGTAACAACAGGATTTCTTGTGTTTGTTCAGAAAATCATACCTGTGACAAGGGTGGGAATCATTTTCAGTTGACCCAGAGAGGTGAAAAGTCAGTCGAGGCCTGGCATGGAATCCCCAACCAAACAGGAACTGGGAGAAGAGCAACATCCACAATTAACTCCTGGCACTTTGGTTCCCAAAAATTCTGTCTAGAAGTATTGGGAAAAACCTGGGCTTTGGCCTCAACCAGAACTGGGTTCAGATCTAGATTCTGCCAAACCTAAGATACAAAAATAGGGAATTAGATTAATAAATGAGGATGCGTTCACACCATGAAATATTGTACAATTATTAGAAAGATTTATGCAGACATTTTGTGAAATGGATGGTACTACAGCATTTCATGTGAAAGCAAAACACTGGAAGCATTTTAAATGTCTGTTAAAACAGGTTTGGAAAGGTAAATTATGATACATTCATAATGTTCACAAACTGACCAAGGCCAGTTTGATCAGGTATTCTTACGAGGGCTCTGGTAGCTGCCATTACTCCCAGGTAGATGGGGCCTACTCGCTCCCCACCTTGCCACCAGGTTATAATGAAAGCAGTTCCCAGGTCCAAGTCAGCCAGGTATACATTAACAAGCAGGCCTAGCAATGTGATACGACCTCTTCTGTGCATGCAAAGGAGTCTGAACTCTGTCCTTGCGTGCAAGGTTCATTTGAGAGGAAGGCTACAGTATTCTCGATTCAGGATCCCATTAGCCATGTAGGTGGCATCGGGCAACTAGAATGTCCAAATTCATGGCTGGACAAAGGCCCCACTAGAGATCTAGCCCCAAGTGCCATTGAGTACAGGTTACATGTCTGTCTAGATTCAACCATCCTGTTTGTGCAAATGTGAGGAGTATCTCTAAAAGAGTTCAGCCAATCCATATACCTTGAATACTTTTCAATTCAACAATAAGAGCCCATTTTGAATATCACTGTGCAGATTCACTTGAACAATCATTAAGCTAATTAGCAAAACATCTGATGTTGATTGGAGATAAAAGTGGATGAAGTATTTGGTGGGTGACTTTTCTGATTAAAACTAGCTGACCGCGGGCCGGCTGGCTGAGTGGCGCGATGGTTAAGAACTAGCTTGGGACGCCAGAGGGCCCCGGTTCGGATCCCACATATGAGGGCCAGTGACACTGCCCTCTGCAGCTAAGATGCTGAACAACAGCTCAACCTGGAGCTGGGCTGCCATGAGTCACCGGTGACGGCGTAGGCTGCAGCCCCTGTGGCAGTGGGTTGCCATGGGCTACCGTGTGTAGCCAGCAGCCAGCGTGAGCGGCCAGCAGCCACAGTGAGCGGCCGTCCAGAAGCTGGCGACTGATCTGCCTTGCCTGGGAAGAGCGCAATGATGGTGCCAACTTGGGCCAGTGAAGCAACGTCCTCCACAACTAGACTGAAGAACAAAACGACAGCAACTTGTCTGTTCCCATCCCCCAATTCCCCAGCACTGTTCCCATCCCAACTCCCCAATAAAAATCTTTAACAAAAAAACAAAAAAACTAGCTGACCGCTCCCGGAGTGTGCATTCCTGTAAAGGGCAACTGACTGGTCCAAAAGTGTAGCTTAAACTAAATAACATACATATTTCTAACACACTGCCCGTCTCTAAAGTAAATTACAGACATCATAACAGACAACAGAATACTATGCACCTACTAAAAAGAGAACGACACATCTCTACCCCCTGCCATGGAACACAGCTGAGCCATTTTAAAGTAAAAGAAACACAGTCATCCACACATGCTAACAGTGACGGGACCGCTGGAGGTTGCCTGACCCTAGGGGGCTTCTGTTTCTCTCTTCCAGAAATTTGGAATGTGAACACCAGCACTAAGCCTCCTAGCTTGGGGGCATTAGACACCAGCTTCATTTTCTACCCTGTGTCCCAGCCTGCAGAGGATAGAAGGAGGAATCACTCAGAGAAAAGCAGGAAAGAGAAACGCTGTAGCCTTAAAAGACAATGAGAAGAAACTCCTTTCCAATTATTCTTTCCTGTTCCTGATGCTTTTCCTACTCCTTGGTTCTTCCTTGAGATATCCTTATCATCATAATCATCATCACCGTCCTCATCCTCACCATCATTATAGCTAAGGATAACTGAGCACTCACTTTGCCAAGCACTGTTCTAAGTGCTCTAAGTGCTCACATGATCTACGGGGCTGACACCTTTATTGTCATTATCCCCATTTCACAGATGAAGAAACTGAGCCCTAAAAGGTAAAGTAACTTGTCCAAGGTCACACAGGTAGTTGGATAACTGAGTCAGCGCTCTTATGAGCTCCTTAGGCAACACTGTTGTTATATACCCTTAGGTCTTGCCAATAAAGGATCCCTGTTTTTGTTAAGGTCTTAAGGTAAGCGAATGAGTCCCTTGTAACCAAATTATTTCTGATTCAGCCAAGTATGTATCGAACTATCCCAGTTTGGTAGAAATTAACTTAACGTGAGTACCAGAGGGAAGAATGCAATGGTTGCAGGTATGCATTGCAGAAAGCAATGATAGCTCCAGGTACAAGTGTAGGGTCAGAACTGCAGATCACTGGGGATTCCAGGGTTGAGAGGCTTACCTGCTAGTGCTGCCATTGCCAGGGGTAGGGCTGAGGCAGAGAGAACTGGGTGCAGGGGTGGTGGACGGGAGGGGCCTCAGGCAGAGGGCATCATGCCCAGGCCAACGCAAGTTCAGGAGAAAAGGAAGGAGAGAAATGAATCAGAACTCCAGCTGGATTAGGCAAAAACTGAGGGAATCTGAATAAAGTATGGGCTCTAGTTAATAATAATGCATTACTATTGGTTCATTCGTTATGACAAATATACCATACAAATATGAGATGTTAACAATGCAGGAAACTGGGGGTGGGGTATGTGGGAACTCTCTGTGCTGTCTTTACAACTTGTCTGTAAACCTAAAACTAGTCTAAACTAAAAAATGTATTCCAACAAGCAAACAAGCAAACTGCAAGTGGAAGGCTGACCTGGGCACCAAGAGACAGTCTGACAGCGGACAAAGGAGAGAACAAATGTCAGAGCGGACATCTGAACACCGGGTGAGCTAGAACCGGGAGGTTGAGTCTGTTCCAGGCTTCTATCGTCAACCCCAGGCACGGGCAGCAGGAAGGGGGAGGGGATGCATGCCTGAGGCCAACAACAGTGCAAAGCCCGACTCCCGTTCCCCTCTCTGCTGTCACTAATCTCACCAATGGCCGGGTATGGGTCAGTGCAAGGCGCCCGCACAGGCTGCTGTGTGCAGAGTTCCTGGTGTGGTCCTCTCCTCCCAAGGGTAAGGGAGGGTATCTGGAGAAGGGCGATTTTTCATTCAGAAAGAAGGGGAAATAGCTGTCAGAGGTGATGAGAGAAGAGGGAGCACAGTTGGCTTCCTGATGCTGGTAATGGATCAGTAATCACCAATTCAGCTCCTGAGTCTAGACTCTTTCCCCTTATGGTCAGCAGGATAGATGCCCAACAGCTGGCTGGAGCTAGGGGTGTAGTGTCCTAAAGGGGGAGGTATGGATAGGGGCTTGAAGACATTGCTGGAAGCTTTAAATAGCTGTGGGGGCAGGGGAAGAAGGGGGGAGGCAGTGACTAGGTCAGGAGAAAGGATGATCAGACAGCTATGAGGGCCCAGCTGAGAGCCAACCTGTGGGGATAGAGGAGTTTCCACAGCAGCCGTCAGCAGCCCATTACAGGAAGAGAAGGTGGGCAGTCACATGGTTGCCAAATCAGGGTTTTGCCCATTCATTCCAAGAGAAGACCTGCGAGAAAAGGGAATCGGTGCGGTTAAGAGAAAGAGTGGGTTGGCCATGGGTCCAAAGCGGAATGGGGAAGGCAGAAGACAGAAGGGGAGTGGATGGGGGAAATAGAGGACAAAGGGCCTGCTCAGGTGACTCTGACTTAAAAACAGTTGGGGATGAGGCACAGTCTTGCTCTGTTCTTGACCTTGTTATTACCTGGAAATTGAACTTGCTGTGATCATGTCACTAGCAGGTTCCCTCCATTTCATCCTTCATGTATGAATAGAAGCCATCACTTGTTCATTTGTTCATTCATTCATTTATTCATTGATGTATCTATCCAATGTGTGTTTACAATGTGCTCTGTGATCACGGGTCCCTGCTAACTTGGAGGTGAACCGTATGAAAAGCAGCTTTTCCCCTTTTCCCCCCTTCAAACGGGACATACATTTTCAGCTATTTCTCTGAGGTTCAGCTTTAAGTTAGCAGGGCCCAGAGTTCACAGAGCACATTGTGTTTTTGTGTGTTTTGGGTTTTTTTTAGGTTTTTATTGGGGAATTGGGGGAGGAGAACATCGCTGGGGAATCGGGGGAAGAGGAACAGACAAGTTGCTGTCCTTTTGTTCTTCAGTCTAGTTGTGGAGGACGTTGCTTCACTGGCCGATGTTGGTATTGTGATCATTGTGCTCTTCCCGGATGAGGTAGATCGGTCGCCGGCCTCTGGATGGCCGCTCACGCCGGCTGCCGGCCACTCACGGTAGCCCATGGCAACCCACTGCAGCAGGGGCGGCAGCCTACGCTGTCGCCGGCGCCTCATGGCAGCCCAGCTCCAGGTTGAGCTGTTGTTCAGCATCTTAGCTGTAGAGGGCAGTGTCACTAGCCCTCATGTGGGATCCGAACTGGGGCTCTGCTGCTCCAAGTTGGCGTCCCAAGCCAGCTCTTAACCAACGCGCCACTCGGCTGGACCCTCACAGAGCACAATGTAAACATACAACATTGGATACATGAATGAATAAATGAGTGAGTGAATGAACAAACTAAAACACATAATAGCTTCTATTCATGTTAGTGTAAATATGCTCATCCACTAGGTGCAAACTGAGAATACTCTACTTTTAAATCTTTTTAGGTATAATTTGCGTACGGTAAAATGTATGAATTTTAGTGAACAGCTTGTTGTGTTTTCATCAATATATATCCCCTCCATGTAGCCACTATCCAGATCAAGATACAGTAACATTTCTATCACCTGAGAAAGTTTCCTTGTGCCCCTCTTGTTTTCCTCCCTCACCCTCAGAGAGAACGAATATTCTGGGTTTTATCATCATAGACTTGGAGGATACTGTGCTTTTGATTAGGTTTTTCAGGGGGGGGCTTGGAGACAACTATCCCAAAGTCACAGAAGTCAGTATCCAGTGGCTCAATGAGATACAGTGCCCACTGAAACTTAGAAATAAGATTGCCCTCTGTCTCACTCAGGGTTTAATCAGGAAAACAAACATGACAGGGGCCATGGAAGCGACTGGGAAGTTCTCATGAATGGAGAGGTATGGTCTATGCAGTCACCCCAAAAAAGTGGCTTATTTCAGTGCCCCGTTAATCCGACACAAGTGTCCAGTCTGCCTGGGGTGGGGGAGTAGTTCCAGCTGTGGACATGCGTACAACAGAGCCTAATGCATTACATATTTGCTCTGATTTATTTATTTATTTCATTAATTTATTTATTTACTTATTTATTTTAGCTGAGCCATCCTGCCACCTGTTGGCAGCTCAGCTCGGGCTGGGAATCGAACCAGCGACCCTGTTGCTCAGAGCTTGCACTCTTGAGTGAGCTCTTAACCAACTGAGCCACTCGACTGGCCCCTGCTCTGATTTTATACTCACCAAGTTAATTTTGAGGAAGTAGGATTCCTGTGTCACTTGGATTTTGGGAGAGAACACACTGACTAGGTTGACATGAATATGTAGACTACCACATACTTATACAGCTCGTTGTAAGTTAACAAAATGCTCTTTGCAACATTAAGATCTTATGGGTTTATTGTTTTGGGTCAACATTAAGATCTTATGAGTTTATTGTTTGGGGTCAATGTCATGGAGTCAGAGTCACACCGGGACCTGATGGACCTGGGCTTTCTGGCTGGAAGGCTGAGGCCTGGATTGAGCCCTGTGGTGAATACCCATGGTAGATACCATGCCTGAGATCTCTTGGAAGACAGCTGTTAACATGCCCACCACAACAATGGCCTTTGGAAACTTCCACACTCACTGAAGACATGTTTTGTAAACATAAGATTCTCCAAACATAAAATGAAATCACATACAAATAATAGTCAAAGGGAGATACGCCTTCTCAAGATACAAAAAAACAAACTAGATTTTTAAAAACCGTCTTGTAAAATAATCACACACAATGAACATCCAACATCAATGTTCAGAATATGGGTAGTTATGAAATGAGCACCAGTGTGACAACTACCACCGAAGAAATGACTAGCATCTCCAAATCTTTCTGCATGTCCCTTTCAGACACATCCCCCTCTCCACCCCACCCCCCCAGATTTTCATGGTAATCACTTCCTTGCTTTTCTTTATCCTTTGACCACCTATGCTATAGCCCTAAATAATATAGTTTCTTTTTGCCTGTTTTTGAACTTTATATAAATGCAATCATACTGTTCATTTCTTATTTATATTTATATATAACATACTTGTGTGATATATAATGTAATCTAGATGATGTATAACATGTGATATTATATTACTTATACTTATTTCTTTTCATTGTGTTATAATATCCCATTATGTGAAATATACCATAATTTATTATGCATTCTATTGTTAATGGACATTTAAATTGCTTCCAGTTTGGGGCTATTATGAACATTCTTGTACATGATTCTGGCACATGTAAGCCATATTCCTGTAGTCTTTATTCCAAGGATGAAACTGCTGGGTTATAGGGTATATATATCTTAAACTTTAATAAATAAAGCAATGTTTTCAGAAATCATTGTACCAATTTTTACTGCTACCAGCATGTTATTAAAGTTTCAGCTGATTCATATCCTTGCCTATACTTGGCAAGGTCCGACTTTTGCCAGTCTACTGGTGTGCTGTGGTATATCATGGTTTCAAATTTGCATTCCCCTAACTACTAATGAGGTTAAGCATTTAAAAAATATATTTACTGGCCTTCGGGGTTGCCTCTTCTCTAAAGCACCTGTTCAAATCTGCCACCCATTTTTCTATCAGGTTGTCTTTTTCTTATTGATTTGTATGAGTGATCAATATATTCTGGACACAACTTTTCTTTTTCCATTTTGTGGCTTGTATTTTCACTTTATGATTTTTTTTCATTGACTATTTTTTAGAATAGTTTTAGATTTACAGAAAAATTGAGAAGCTAGTACAGAGTTCCCATATACCTCACACCCATTGTCCCTTTCATTGACATCTTACATTGTAACATGGCACATTTGTCACCATTAATGAACCGATGTTGATTCATTATAATTAACTAGAATCCATACTTTATTCAGATTTCCTTTTTCTGTTGCAGGATTCCATATTACATTCAGTTGTCATGTCTCCTTAGGCCCCTCTTGGCTATGAGTTTCTCAGACTTCCCTTGTTTTTGATGAACTTGACAGTTTTGAGGAGTACTCGTCAGATATTTTGTAAGCTGTACCTTAAGTGGGATCTGATGTTTTTTTCATGATTAGGCTGGCGTTATGGGTTTAGGGAGGAAGGCCACAGAGGTAAAGTGCCATTTTCACCACATCATATCCAGGGTACATACTATCAGTATGGTTTGTCACTGTTGATGTTGACTTTGATCACCCAGCTGAGGTAGCGTTTGTCAGATTTCTCCACTGTAAAGTGACTCTCTCTCTCCTCCTCACTTTTCCATTCTGTATATGGTGTCTTCTGAACAGAAATTTTTAATTTTAATTGAGTGGGGGCTGCATGATCTGGGGGCATGACATGATCTTGGCCTCCACAGGGCTTCCTGATAACTAATTTGCAGGGATCAGGCCACCTTACCATGCTCCATCTGGGATCACTCAGAATTTACTGCTGGAATTAATGGGAGGTGGGGGGTGGGGGAGAGTTAGAGAAGGAAACTGAATTATATATATATATATATATATATATAGTCTTTCAGATCTTATATCTGAACCTCTCCTTTTGAATTCAAGAGTCAAGACTTTGACATTTCTGGTTTAGGGTTCTTCTGAGTCTTCCCCTCAGAGCAATGGATGGCTCAAGTCTTGGCTATTTGGCCTGGGAGGAGAGATGAGGTGAGGGTTTGGGAGGAGGCTTCTTTCAGGCCAACGTATGGGTCATGCCTTCAAATATTATCCTGCCACACACATATCCACCTCTAAATGCTTAAAAGGAAAAGTTAACCACACATCACCAATTGTTTACTGAGTGCTATAGAGTGAATCCAAATGGCTGCATTCATAAAGCAGAACCACTGCTGATTCAGAATGTGACTTTATTTTTTATTTTTACAATGTTATTTTTTCTTCTTCAGTCTCGATGTGGCTTATTCTGTATATCCTTAGTTCCAGAGTGTGGCTTTGAGTACATATGCCTTCCTCTAGGTTTCAATCTCTCAATCTATGAAATAAGGAGAAGGCTTCCTACATACAGTGTTTATCTTGTTGGAATCCAAGGTTATAAGAAGCAACATTGCCCCTTTAAGACCTCAGATGAAAAGGGGCTTTAGATTTAAACAATAAGCCATTCACTCTTAGCTCAGAAAAGGATGTTATTTCTCAAGACATAGAGTATGAAAGATTGTGAGATTTTGAAGTTTTCTTGGGGGGAGAGGAAAGAGGAGGGATTTATTTTTTTATTTTTTCAACATAAATT